TACCTTTATTTGGCTGGTCTTTTCCTTGGTACAGGTTCACTCCCGGATTCTTGATCACATCCATGTGAATCTTTAACATATCTTGTGCTTTGCTGACCGTCTTTGGATAATAATCCACTTCCCTGCAGTAGTTTGTCAGAAGATCCAGCATCAGAGGAGCTGTTCTCATTCGATCGCAGTTGCACAGAAATCCTGTTGCAAGAACTGCTTCAAAGATATCATCCTTGAACTTGTCTTTAGCAGTAGTATCGGTGCTGCTATTGGCAAATCGTTCCTGCCGCCACCTCAACCTCAAAACCCACTCTCATCCTTGTACGAAGCTTCTTTTCGCCTGGCTTATTAGAAGTTGAGGCATATGACATGTTGCCGAATGACATGTCCAGATACTTGGACAGGCTCCGGTAATCGGGAATCAGCCGTCGAAGATCCGCTTCCGTTCGGATCCACTGCTTAGACTTCTTGTAAGCGCTGTCAGACAAGGGAAGAAAGCGAATCGTCTCCTCCGCGTTCTTTAGGACGTCTGCCAGCGTATCCAGAATATGGTTCAAGATAATAGAGGCATGGGTCGTGTTCCCCCCTTGTTGACCTTGATAGCTGTACGCCATTCCCAGTTCAACCAAGATAGCCTGACCATCCATGCCGTCCAAGTTGACTTGTCGCAGCCCATCTAGGCGTTCTTCCAATGTCAAGCTGCGTTGTAGTCTTCGTTTGGCCTTAGAGCTTTGCTTCGTGGAAGTGGTGTCCGTTTTTTGTGCGGTTGGTGTGGTTGATTGTGAAGCAGACGCTGAATGTGTACGTTTAGCACTGGGTTCACTCAAAGAGCTCCCGCCCACATCCATTTCTGTAGACGGAGCGACCACCAAAACCTTGTGGGACCGTCCCTTCTTCCTCGGCGGAGATGCCAATTCAGGATCCTTGTCTTCACCAGTAACACCGGTCAGTTCGGAAACTGCCTCATCCGTATTCAGGCCCATGTTGTTGGTGTCTTCGTCGTTTGCAGTATCCGTAAGCTTGTAAGTACTTTCCACGAGAATGACAGAATCCTTGGTCGATTCGTCAGTATCCTCGTCATCCTCCTCCACCTCGCCCTTGTCGTCGTCGTCGTCGTGGGTGCGATCGTCACCAGAATCAAGTTCGCCGTCTATTTCCATATCGTTCCTCCTGTCGTTTAAGTTGTTGTCAACTGTCTTGTCAGAGTCCCACCCATCTTAGTTGAATTATAATCGTAGCCGATAGCAATCAATTCGTGAGTAGATAACCCAAAGTCGATCAGTGGTGGAAGAGATGCGATCAGCTCTTGAATCTCCGAATCATTGTTGACACTAGGATCCCTGTCCTTAGGTTGACGTAAATCAACTGCAGATGCATTTTCCAATCTTTTCTTTCCGCTCTTTTTGGCGAGAGAAACCGATTTGGGTGTGGACCCGCCCGCCTTGTTGGCAGTCGTTGAGACAACCTTCAGTGATGTAGACTTCCCCATTGTAAAACAGTGAAATGCCGTTGAATTGACAAAAACTTCAGCACGTTCTACGTATACTCTAGTACTTAGGCTACGAAGACCGTTTGCAAGTTCCAATCGGTTCGGTGCTTTTCGTTTTTCGTTTTTCTTTTTCTATGAGGGTGTATTCTTGGGTAAAGTAGTCAAGTAATGGAGACCACTGTGACCATCCTTGTTGACAAACGCAACATACAACAACATGGTGTTGCCTTTTTTCTGTCATCAGGGCAAGAAGCAGTATGGCAAAAAATGCATAATCACCGTTGATCACATGTGAGGCCGCAAGGAGAACAACTGCAAATGGTAAGTCAATCTCCTACTGCAGTGATGTGTACGTTCTGCTTTCTAAAATCACAATGCTGCAAGATCAAAGTTTCTAAGTAAGTGATTTCAATTTTTTGATATTTGGAAGAAGTCTCCTGTTGGTGTCTGACCCTCGTTTCTGCAAGTTCCATTTACTACCAGATGACCTGAAGCTTGACAAAGTCCCATCCGATAGCTTGGTGGTCGATCTCCTGGAAAAGAACACTGATGCAGCTGTTGGATACAGGAGTTGTGTTCAGGGATATCAAGACTACCTGACAAAGGATGGCACAAACGTTTTGCAAGCAAGGACGGGGCAGTACCAATCCTTTCATTACCTAGTGAAACGGATCATGCCATCGATCAATTGCACAAACACCAAATTTTGATGTGCGGAAGCAGGAGGAGACAATCAGCAACATCGTCACCATGAGTGACGAGGCATTTGCCCTCATGCTACTTGAGAACTATGAGAGTCGTTGGAGGAAACAGCATGAGGATCCCAAATCAGCAAGACTCCGAGGTAAGGAACATGCTGCTATAAGCAAGGAGTTCAAGGCCAAATTCACATCAAGTGACAATGGCTTGAAGCTGAAGTCATCTGGTTGGAGTCGACAGGGAATTGAAAGCTACAACGAGAAGTTGAGTTCAATTGGTAAGTTAAGAAGGCAATCCCGCACAGGGGCGGCCCTAGAAGAGTACGAAGTGTGGACAATGTGCGGTGGAGCAGATATTTATGTAAAGGGCACAGTGCCTCCTACAGCAAATAAGAGACAGATACCTATTGCTGAAGGATCGCTGGCTGTCCTTCCTGAAGCATTTGAAAGTATGTTTGCAGAGGTCTAGCCTTGTCAATAGATTGTCATTAAATTGTCAAATAAAGCAAAAGTGTTTGTGATATAATCAAAAGGATCTTTCCAATACATTCATAATCTGTATGCCCTTTAATCACCATTGACTGTTCTCCAGAAGGCAAGGAAACTCTGTTTTGTAGGTCATTGTAGTTGTCATAAATTGACAAGGATCTGGTCCTTTTAAGGCGTTGGCCATTTGATGAGATGACATGGACAATGAGAAAGAGGAAGCCATCGGATGGCTCTCAATCAAATGGGTCCACTTCAAAAGGTCTGTTGGATGTCCTTAAAAGACAAATCCGGTGGGTGGAAAATGTTGGTGAAATGGGATCTTAACAGATAAAAGAACAGTCGAACATGTCGGACAGTGAAGTCGGACATTTGTGATATCGAACACGGACGGGAGTACGGTTCGAGTACTTACAGAGATGGATAAGTATTGAAGGTAGATCCAGATCTGTGACTAGTTCGTGAAGAACATGTGCGTATGTGCTTTATACGCCGCGACAG